CAAGCTGTTGCCCTGGGTAGTGCTGTGGCATCACAGCTCATAGCAAACTCCAACTCCTGGGCTCAGACGATTCTCTTGCCTCCGCCTCCAAAGTAGCTGGAACTATAGGTTCCCGGAATAATGCCCAGCTATTTTTTGGTTGCAGCTGTCATTGTTTGGCAATCCCGGGTTGGATTCGAACCCGCCATCTTAGGTGTGTTTGGCTGGCACCTTAGCCGCTTGAGCCACAGGCACTGAGCCTAATTGCACTTCTTTACGTGATAGAGAAGAGGTACATTTTTTTCAGAGTAAAAATAACTGTAAGGAAAAAAGAAATTAACATAAATATTATTTTTGTTTATTTAACATTTTACTTAACATTTATTATGTTCTTTTCTTTTTTTTTGAGACAAAGTCTCACTCTGTTGCTCTGGGTAGATGCCATGGCATCATAGCTCATAGTAACCCCACACTCTTGGCATCAAGTGATCCTCTTGCCTCAGCCTCCTGAGTAGCTGGGGCTATGGGTGCCCACTATGACTCCGGGCTAGTTTATTATGTACTTTTCTATTAGACACAGGTTAACTTAGTAAACTGGTTCACAGTATTATCTGACAAAATTATTTTAATCAATGTTTTCTTTTTTTAGCGTTGCAGAATGAATGAAGACACTGGCACTGATTATATAACACCTTGGCAGCTGTCTCAAGTGGTTGATGGTGGAGGTATTGGAATTATAGAAGAAAGCAAACACATAAATTTAACTAAAGGCGATTTTGTGACTTCTTTTTATTGGCCTTGGCAAACCAAGGTTATTCTGGATGGAAATAGCCTTGAAAAGGTGATATATGATATAAAGTATCTACTTTAGTTCCCTGTGTAAATCTCGCTTTGTGCATTTAGTATTCAGTTTTGTTTTGTTATTAGGCAAAAAAGTTAAAGTATACACTTTCTTTTAGCCAGCTACCAAAATATGGAAGCCTTTTTGTTCCTTTTCCATTGTTAGCTGCATAGGGGAGTTTAAATTTTTCCTCTGAAGGTTCAATAATTGAGTCTGCAGAAGTAAAAAGACAATAAACACATTAACAGGAGAAAAAAACTTTTTTTTTTTCACCTACTTTGTCACCTTCGGTAGAGTGCCATGGTGAAACAGCTCAGAGCAACCTCCAACTCTTGGGCTTAAGCTATTCTCTTGCCTCAGTCTCCTGAGTAGCAGGGACTACAGGCACCCACCACAATGCCTATCTAATTTTTTGTTGCAGTTTGGCAACTTGTCATCCTCAGTATATGGGGCCGGCGCCCTACTCACTGAGCCACAATCACCGCCCGGTGTCATTTTTCATATTTAATTTGTTTTTCAAATGTTTTGTGTAACATAAAATCTGAGTTGTAAACATCAAAATAAAATTTTTTTTGAGAGAGACTCTTGCTCTTTCTTTAGCCCAGGCATTAGCCTACTTCATAGCAACCTCAAACTCTTGGGCTTGAGAAATCCTCCTGCCTTAGCTTCCTCAGCTAAGCTGAGGTGAAACTATAGGCCCCTGCCATGATTTCCAGCTAATTTTTCTATTTTTGGTAGAGATAAGGTCTCACTCTTGCTCAGACTGGTCTTGGATTTCTGAACTCAAGTATCCTCTCACCTTGAGTGCTAGGATTATGGGCATGAGCCACCATGCCAAAATAGATTTTTTTACTAAGAATAGACATCTCGCAATAATTATATGCTTTAATGTTTCCAGAAAAATGCATCACCTAAGGCTTGGCGCCTGTGGCTCAAGTGGCTAAGGCGCCAGC